GAAATTGTCTTGGACCTTGCATGTTGTCACTAGTGGCTATGTAAGCACATTTGAGGGAAATTGTGGTTATGATCAATAAATGTGGTTGTTGGAGATGAAATATAAATTATTGGAGAGATTAAAAAAGAATGTGAATGAGAGAACCTTGAATTATGGCAATGTGTAATTTGGCCATGTGCATAGGGTTTAGGGCTAATGTTTATTCTTATGTGGTTTGGTATTAATTGTGTTTTGCGAAACATATGGTTGATCAGGGTACATTGATCAATGTAGGTTGCCTATCTCGAAATCCATAAAAGAGGGTTGAACTTGGAGCTAACGTTGAAGAGCTTGCTATAAGGAGTTCTTCCAGGTAAACTTTTGTTGTCCTGGGGTTAATCCCATGGTGTGTTTCACCACGCCCAAGTTGGGGGGTAGTAGTTGGATGTGTACTCTTTGATTCTGCATTATAGAGTATGTTCATGCATTATTAACATGTTGATTGACATGCGTGTGGCATGTTGTGTGATATTCTATTTTGATATCTGGCCAGTAGATTTGATTGTTTGGACTTCATTGGAATAGGCTCCTTTGAAGAGTTTCGGTCGGGTTTTATCGTGGGGCTGTTTCTGGGAGCGGTACTAAGGAGATCCAAACATTGGACTTTCGCTGGATAGGTCTCTGTTGGGAGTTCCAGTCGAGTTTTGCCGTGGAGTCACCTCAACCATGGGAGAGGCACAAGGAAGGTTCCCGGGAGTTGTATAATAGGGTCCTTGAATGAATCCTTGTGTGGATGTTCTTGGATGTGAGCCCAGTGATTGATATGATTTTGTATGTTATACTGTTCATATGTTTATCATAGCATGCACATTGAGTGAGCCAGTAAGATGATTGACACTTCAGGATCCTTGGTTTACTGAGATATATATGTATATCTCACCCCAAGTTTCGAGGCACCATTTAAGGTACTATTGATCAGATTGGAGCATCGGGTAAAAGGCCTGCTTAGAGGTGGAGATGGATATATGGAGTGCATATGCGTATATAGCATTCTGGATAGATTTCATTTGATGCACATTATACCATTATTTTGTATCATGGACTTAAGTTATGAACATGGTATTGCATGAGGTTATAATTGTCATGCATTCGTTGTTCATAGTTAGTTCTAAGTCATTTGATCATGGTTTGTATTTTGGGTACATGTATATACATGTCTCACATGTTATTTTGAGTTATTGGTGAGCATCAGACATATCCATTGCCACTTGATGTATTTGAGATATTGGTACTCTAGCTTATGTAAAAATTGCCAACTGAGGTATCATATATATGTAATCATATAGATAATGTAAATGATATATCTATGGAAAAATATATGCATGATGGAAGCGCCTTAGGCCTATTTTAGATGTTGGAGTGTTTGATTTTGTGGGATGATAGTTGATTAGGTATATGACTGAAAAATTGACAATTATTGAAAATATAAACAGAGTGTTGTCCAGATTTCATATACCATATGATAGAAGTGGATCCCTTGGCCTTCTTGGAAGTTATAGATATTTCTTTTAGCTTTCTAATGAGACCAAGATTATGTCAATTGGATTAGTATAACTTAAATTATGGAGGAAACACCAAAGTAGGTTGAAATCCCCTGTTTTGATGCATATCTCCCGACCCACGGCGCTTTTGGCGCCATGGTGGCACTATTAGTGCCGCCAAACAGTGGGAAATCGTATCCTTGGCGCTATAACACTGTTTCATGGTGCTATTAGCGCCAGGTTGGCGCTATCAGTGGGGGCCCTGTGAGTTTCAACATCTTTTTCTTAGAAAATTCATAACTTGAGCTACGGTGCTCCAAATTAAACGCGGTTTAAACCCACGCGAAGCTAACAAAGAAATATATAATATAGCAATAGATGACAACCATAGAGGTATTATATAATTCCTAAAGCAATAAAAAGCTGAAGACATTTAGTGTTGAATATGAATAAAATGAATATTTAGCTTTGTTGGTTTATGGGAACCACTTAGCAACTTTAAAACCATGTTGTATGATGTTAAGCTATAACAATTATATTTCGCGTTAAGAATTCAGTTATGACCACAGTTCGTAAAATGTTTTAATACAATTGTTTCAAAAGTGAGAACGTTATAAAAGTAAAAAAAATTTCGTATTTTTAAATGAACTGTTGTGATTGTAACTGCAGTTAGTATCATAATTGATGATAACATTACCGGTATGTAATGGGGTGTTACAGATGCCATGATTATTTAATGCATATATATCATGAAAGTGAACTTAAGGGTGGAGCAATTTCTAAGGACCTTTAGTTTATAGAGATAATTATCTCACCCTGCATAGGGATTTATATTTCAGGTACACCAAGAAGTGGAGATGAGATTTCCCATGGCAAGAGGTCAACTTAAGGATTTATGTCATGAATATTTTGGATTTGACCCTTTTTGGCATAAGAATATAATAGGACTATATTTTGAGATGTATATGGGACTCATGTTTTACAAGGTGTTGTAGAATTAGTCATGCATGTACCTATGCCAAAAAAGAGAGCCAATAGGCTTATTTTGTGATCTTGAACATAATAAGAAATGTACATTTTGATTTGTCAATTGTGGATGGCTTTATGTAAGAATCACATTATAAGGATTATATGGATGATACATTGTGAATGATTTTGATGGCTTGATGCCAATGGTTAGGAACTCATAAATTAATTGTGTATATTGATGTATATCTTTCATGGAAGATGGTCATATAATCTGTTAGGTACCTTTAAAAATATATAGATACCTTGGAGGGTAGTTAAACGAACCAAAAGGACCATCTCATTTCCTAGGGAGCCCACAAAAACGCACTCTGAGACAGTAGGCAACCCCTTAAACGCGCTAAAGGAATCCGAAAATGCTCACTCGAGTGTGCTAAAACGTGCTATGAGTATTCAAGACAATAAGCAACCCTTCGAGCGCGTTAAAGCTCTCTAGAAACGCATTATAACTCGCTAATTGGGTGAAAGAATACCTGTTATGTGTGTTACAACACGCTAGAGCGCTCTACAGCACGCTAAGCAAGAGGAATTTCACATATAGGAGCACGCTAAAACGTGTTGACCTTGCACTTTAATATTGAGTTTTGCCCCTTTTGGCCTATGTGGGCCACATTTTAGGGGGTTGTAGGATAATGTAGGACACTTCTAACTAATATGTGATCAATAATTAGGGAAGTATCATTGAACAAGAAATGAATTTTATAGAGAAAAAGAAAAAAAAGTTATTTATGAATTCCGCAATATTAAATAAATATAGCTACGCTTAATGCCATAATCAATGATAATACATCAGGTGCACATGTGGTGTTATAGTTTGCAGGATAGCATTCCAATTTCAATCAATAGATCCAAGACATACTTCCACAAAGGGATAAAAACACCTTTTTTCCAAACTTGATACTTCAATACCTAGGAAATAGTGTAGTTGTCCTAGAACTTTCATTTTGAATTTGGTTGCCAGGTACTTTTGTAGGATCTCCATCTCTTCTATGTCATCACCTATTAGAAACATATCATCCATGTATACAATGAGAGATATTACCTTCATTTTCTTGTGTTTTACAAACAAGGCGTGATCACAATTACTTTGCTTATATCCAATAACCTTCGTTTTTGCAGTAAATCAACTAAATCAATCTATGGGTGATTTTTTCAACATGTATAAGGAGTTCTTCAATTTACAAATCTTTCCTACATGCTTGGTTCCCGGGGGTAGTTCCATGTACACTTCTTCTAATTTGTCGTTTAGGAAGGCATTCTTTACATCAAACTGTTGTAGGGGCCAGTCCCTATTTGTTGCAATGGATATAAAAAGATGACCTCAATGTTTAGCTTTGCTACTAGTTCACAAGTCTCATATAATCCACCCTATAATTTTGTATCTTTTTCCACAAGTCTTGCTTTGTACCTATCAATGTTGTCACCAGCCTTAAGTTTTATTATATAGACCCATTTACATCTAATTATTTTTTTCCTTTGGGTATGAGACAAGTTCCTAAGTTATGTTCTTTTGTATGACTTTCATATCTTGATTCCTTGCCTTTTTCCACTTAGGGTCAACTAACACTTTCTGCACACTACTAGAAATATATACTTTGGACAATTGATCAACTATTTGAGCATAGAAATATGACAATATTTTAGGAGAGGTATAATTATAAATGTGCTATTTGACAATGTCATTGATATCAAGTTAATATGTTTTCTAGGAATATCTTTGTTAAAACAAAGTGGGTACCAGGAAAAAGGTTCTAAAGTGGAAGCATCATATGGAGTATTCTGGGAGGACTCTTTGATCTAGGGTGTTATTACAATCCCTCAAATGCTTCTTCAATGGCATAATTTGAGCATAGTGCCCGCATCAGTGTATTCTCTTCATACAATGTCGCCTCCTTGAAGAGAGACACTAGAAGGATCATAATGGTAGTAAGGCTCGGATTCACCAAAGGAATCATACAAGGTGACATATAACTTTCGAGTGAGAGGATCATAACAATGATAGCCATCTGAACATTAAAATAGCCAAAGAAGACACACCGCATGACATAAGGATCTAGTTAAGTCCATAGAATTTTAGGAATGTGAGGATAAACAATACATCCAAAGATGAGGGATTCTAGATTTGGCATATGGGATAAGGCACAAAACAAGCCCAACTTTTGCTAAGATGTGTGAAAATCAAGAACTTGAGAAGGAGTCCAGTTGATAAGATAAATAATCGATTCAACTACTTCACCCAATAGAAATGCATCATACCCTTCTAGCTTCATAATTTTAGCTCTTTTGTCTTGCACTAGAGCATTATCAAATTCTTGGGAAGCAAGAGATTCAAGTAACTCCAATGCTTCTTCAGGAGTTTTCATCTTCAAAGAACCTCTAGTTGCAGCATTGACCAAAGTTCTGGTGTTAGGCGTCATCCCTTGGAAGAAAATTTTTCCCTGCTCCTAAGCTTCAACACCATGCTGTGGGCATTTCTTGAGAAATCCTTTGAATCTCCCCCAAGTCTCATAAAGAGACTCTGTCTCTTTTTGTTTGAATATCGATATGTCTTCCTTAAGTAGCCCGTTTTGAAGATGAAAATAACCGAGCTAAGAATTTAACTTGTAGATCTTTCCAGTTGGTGATGATTCCTTGAGGTAGTGACTGTAGCCATCTTCTGGCATCATCCTTCAGAGAGTGTGTAAACAGTCAGAGCAAGATTGTATCTCTGATAACTCTGTTCATCTTGAGAGTATCGCATAAAAGCAAGAAATTCTCAAGATGTAGATAAGGATTTCTGTGTTCCCTCTAGAAAATTGTTCTTTCTGAACCAACTGCACCAAAGCTGGATTGAGCTCAAAGTTGTTAGCATCCACGTTTGGTCTAACAATGCTCCCAGTCTGAGAAACTACAGTTGGAGAGATATAGTCTCCCAATGTCCTCGAGGGATTGACTATTTGGTTATTTTCTGCCATTGTTTCCTTCTTTGGTTCCGTAGAACTTCAAGCCTCCTTTGCTCTTATCTCTTTTGTGCTTTTTCTAAGTTTCGTAGATGTCTTCCTTATTTTCGGGTCAAATTGCAAAGATCATCAACAATACCTCACATAAACCAGAAAAAATAGAGAGGTTAATAGATTGTAGAAAAATGTAGAAAACAAAAAATTATGCAGAAAATTTTTGCAGAAAATTAAGAAGATATGTAGAAAATAAATTGCAGAAAATTAAAAACGTCCAATCTAAAAGGCTTTTAGCTACTTCTAATGTTGAAGAGTCAAATCCCTAGCAACGACACCAAAAACTTGTTGCGACTTCAGCAAGTGCACCAGTCGTTAAGTAATAAAGTGTACCAGAGTACGAGATCGTTCCAACGAAGATTGATTTTCAAGCACTAGTTCACTATTTATAATTTAGTTGAAAACCATGATTAAGATCAAATGAATTGAAATTAAAAACAATCAATAACATGTAAATTCAAAATTAAAATAATTATAGAGATAAGTTGTTTAACTATCAAAAACGCGTGTAGTTAGGGTTCGATTTTCCCCATTCTCTTCTTTATATTATAAGTCAAACAAAATTATAAAACGTCCTTTATATCTTGTCAATCAATTCTTTCTAAACTAATTAAGGTTTAATCTCTTGTTACCCTAATTCTATGAAATCTTGAAAGAACCCTAGTTCCCCGTTTATTCCCAAGAAAATATGCATTACGATCAAGAATCTAAAGATTGCATAATTTTTCTATGTCTATTCCTAGATCACAAGGATTATGAAGAATTTATCAACTCAGGGTTCATGTACCAACATTTCTATTTTCATACAATTCCCCTAAATCAATCTATAAGGAGCAAACTCATAGAACGTATTAAGAAAGGATAAATTCATTCATAGATAAGAAGGAAGAATTTTCAAGACAAATTAACTCATAACAAAAGACCTTAACTACATAGAAACTTAGCCTAGCAAGGCAAATTCAAAAACACAAGAAAATAAAATAAATCCCCAAGACTTTATTGATGTGATGTTGTCTTGAATCTTCAATATTCCCAATTGCTCCACAATAGGATTCTCCACTCTCAGATGTCACAAAGCCCCCTTCTATATGAATGTGCAACCCTTTTATAATAAAGAAACCATATCTTTTAATTTCTTATAAGATCTTTCATGAAATCTTTCTAAAATCTCCAATCATATCTTTCATTAAATGATTCCATAAATTGGGTCTAGCTTGGTTCGTGTTGAGCGCTATAGCGCGCTGTAAGGCGCTTGAGCGTGCTCCCACATTCAAAACCTCAAAAATTCTTTGTCTTAACGCGCTGGAGAGCGCTCGAGCGTAATCCTCGACAAAAATTTTCTCCTCTTAGCACGCTCGAGCACGCTATTGAGCGCTTAAGCGCTCTCCTTGAGTGGATTTGGCCAAATTTGTTGTCCTAATGCGCTTGAGCGTGCTGTTGAGCCCTCGAGCGCGCTCCAATATCCTTTGTTTTGATTGTAACTTGCTTCAATCTGAATTCATTTAATCTCTACTTTAACTTTCAAGTTCCTTACTTCGTTTAGATATTTTTTACTGTCAAATTACCTTCAAAACAAGCAAGATTACAAAATGTTAGCTCAAAATCCAATCTTCAAGCTTTTTCACTATAAAACCTTAATTTCCATGCAATTGACTATGTATTTTATGTATAAAGTATCCCTATAACATGGTAAACCAGAGGTTTATCAGTAGAAGACAAGGTGGAAGAATTCATTCGAAATTTAAAAGGTGCTATTAAATTAGGGTGAAAAGCAAGAGCTCTATAGTTAGTTCTATAGTTATGAAAAATGATATTAAATTTACAAAGATGCAAGAGTTCTATAGTTATAAAAAGCAAGTAAATGCCTATCTAGTAAACTGACCATTTGAGCAGGAGACTAATTGAAGATGACGATATCCTATTCCATGCCAAGGCCTTGTTTATAAACTAGTTCGCACATATGTTGCCAAACATAATTTTAGATAGACATAATCGTGGATTTTGCTAGACAACATAGAAGTTATTATAAGAAATTTTGAGTATAGAATATAAATTTATATACATCTATATGGGTTATGAGGTTCAACCAGCATGACCCAATACCCTAGCACAATCCAATGATTGATCCGGTGACCCAGTACCCTAGCAGATTCGATAATCAATTCGGGTTGAATAACATTGATAAATAGTCATGAGGATCAAAATAATTCACTTGAATTAAAGTTTATATAAAGCTTGCTTGTAACATATGTTTTGATTATAAAATGCGAGTGTAAATTTAATATATATCTATCATAGACTCTAGATACTAGCAATGACTGAGTTGGAAGGGGCAGAGAATTAAAAATTCAAATAAATTAGGCAGGGAAATATAGTAGTAGGTTTATATATAATCAAATTTGAATAACTTTCCAAAAAAATTTCATACATAAGAAATAATAAGGACGAAGGGAATGAACTTATGTTACTTAAGTTTTTTTTTTTTTTAATCTGAATGTAGTTTAAAATAAATGCTTGATGGATTTGGGGGAGGATGATCCTCTCTCCTAACACTTTTCTGAATCCATCCTTGAATACTTGGTTGACATAAAACATGTATTAAAGGTAAGCTTAATTACGATAATTACTTGGAATGAATAACTCTAATAATATGAACTACCAAAAAGAAAAGTATCAACTTATAAATTCAAGAGTAAATACCCTTTTTTCATTCCTGACAATTTTCACAAAGTCCTTTTTGGTCTCCAACAATTAAAAAAGGCTCATTTTGATCTTTAATTTTACAAAAATAGTGCCACGTTTGTTCTTCTGTTAGTTGGCATCCAACGGCCCAACTAACGGAACACACGTGGAACGTTAGTTTGCTAGGTCGCTATTAAGTAGTCCAGTGTGGAAGTAATATGATGACGTTTTGAACATGCCTTATGTCTTCTTGGAGTTTTGAGCAGCTGACCCTAGCATCAAAGGCCCTATTTGGGTCCTGACAAATTTATCGAGGCCCTATTTGGTCCTTAACACTAAAAAATGGACATGAACACAGAAGTTGCAAGGCATATTGCAACTAACCACCATTGCAAACCTTTCAAACCACCATTGCAACAATCTAATGGCCATATTACAACAATCCAATGGCCCTATTTGGAATTGTAAATCATGATAAATCAATTGGTAAACCACCAACCACAAGTCTTTCAAATATTATTTGTTAGTATCAGTTAGGTGTTGGCGTTAATCGTGTACGGTGTATTGGATTTGACGGTTGCTGGGGTGTCTTTGATAATGGTGTGCTTTTTTACTTTCATTGCTTTCGTTCTAAGCTCTGTTGCATTCTTGCACAACTCCAAGTATGTCTCCTGGATTGTAAATCTTGAAAGGTCATGGTTTCAAATCATGCAGTTCTAATCAAACGTTGGCAAGTCAATGTTTTCCTTCTCATATTTCTCAATATTGTCCTCCTTGTTTATTATTGTGTCCTTACTGTGGAACCAATGCACTCTACGTAAAAAATATAAAGGTTCAATTATTTTGATTATAACAAACAAGCATGGAAAGAAAGCTTCAAGGTGCAACCATAAAAAAGAAGTCTAAACAAGATCAAGACTCAAGCTTCAAGAGAAGTACCTAAGTCCAAGAAATCTCCAAGTAATATAGTATACGACTTAGGATCATTCGAAAAGGTAATTGATTCCTTACGTGAACAAAGCTCAAAGTGCTTTTTGAAATACATGCATTAAATCATCATTTGACATTCAAATACATCCCTAGTGTAACACCCCGTGTATACCCGGAATATTAACATTAAATCGTATTAAGCGGTGCTTAATTAAAAATGCGGAATATTCTTTTTCTTTCCAATTATGACGTCATTATTAATTACAAACTTGATTACTTAATCAATTTCATAAAATATCGCCTGTATTTAAATTGCAATAAGACATCTACTGAAATACCTCAATATATAAATAAAGTGTGTATCTAAATTACGGCATTACATCTCGTAATCCGGACAATATCCTGATACATTATTACAACTCCAAAAGACTCAAGACACAAACAAGACATAACAATACTATGTGTCATGGACAATCCCCATGCTCACCAAATAAACATAGTAAACAACCAGTCTCAACATAAAACTCCATAAACATAACTGAAGCTATAAGCATATAAACAGCATGCAAATCCAGCATCCAATCATGGCAGCATAATATAACAGCAATCTAACTCAGCTCCGGCCTCCTGCCGCCTGAGGTCTCAACATTACCTGACCCTGAAATAAGCATTCCCCAAATGTGGGGTGAGATCTCTAAACACGAAATCTCAGTAAGACAAGGGGTCCTCAAGGATCTTCCACCCCAAGCTCACTTACATGTGCAATATAAGTTCAAAAAGCATTTATATCATTATCAGTTCCAAAACTATGTAGTGCAACAGATATCTATGGCATGTGTGTAATCACTATCTACTGGCCAGAGAAATGTAGGAATATGTATATTCCCTACATGTAGTACAAGGAACACCGCTTGCACCTCCCCCACAGTCTCACCCTATTGTATGTTCTACATACT